GTGGAAGGGGGAGATTAATGCAGCTGAGGCCATAGAGCTGGAGGGCCAGGACAGGGTAAAGGGGGGCAGGGATAGATGAGGCAGATTGGGGCAAAGGTCGGCATGGGATGTCCCACAGTAGGCACCCTTCAGCTGATGAGATCTGCCTCCGTCCCCAGTGGAGAACAGCAGCCTGATCTTCTCAACCCGGCGCAGCGAGAAGAATGTGACAGCGGACCAGGCCCATGCAGATGTGGTTCAGCCCTATGCTGCCTACGCCCCCCCAGGGACTCCCAGGGTATGGAGTGGGGCTGGGTATAACCCCTGGAGGCCTCAGCTCAGCCGCCCTCCACTTGTGCCCAAGGGCTGTCAGCCAGCTATCTTATCTCCTCTCCCAGTCAGGACCATGCACCTTCTTTTATGAGCCCATCAAGGCTGCGGGGATGTCTGTGCCTAGGGTGACATGCCAACCACTGCGTATCTATGGAGACAGACAATCCTATAAACAGCTGTCACCGAGCCAACAGTCATTTATTCCCAGCCAACCACACAGGGTGTTACTCCAATAGCTGCCCTCAGGCTGGGGAGGCAACAGCCGTCTATCCCTTCCATCCCCTTGCTGATGCCCACATGGCCATGGAGCCAGGCAGACATACTTCCATGTGACAGCCACGGAGCCCCTGGGATGAACAGCAAACATCCTGCCAAGGGCCAAATACTCATAGATAAACCACACATGCCCTTTGCCAACAGCTACATGTCAACAGAGACAGTCACGCCAGCTGGCACCACGAGACAGCCACATATTCCCAGAGACACATCGTCATGCCAACTGCCATGTATCCTGAGGGATAAACAGCCGCCCTCAGCCCATTGCTGTACCAACAGTCAGGGATCCCTGGAGACAAACAGGCCTCCCCTCCCCACGCTGACAGCCATGTACCATGGAGACTAATGGCTGCTCTCACACCAAAGACCTAAGTGGGTCCTTGCCCTCCCTCCCCTGCCCCTCTGATCCTCTCTCTCCCAGTGCCCTGGGGTTGACCCTCTCTTCTCCCCTCAGGGAAAGCTGGTCTATGCCAACCAGGGCAAGCGCAGTGACTACCAGGAGCTGGTCAATATGGGCATCGACCTGAATGGCACTATTGCCATCACCCGCTATGGGGGGGCTGGCCGTGCCGACAAGGTGAGGAGTGTTCAGGGCCTACAGGTCTCAGACACCAGGTGGCCCCCTTGCATGGCAGTGGGGGGGAGCCATTTTCTCTCTTCCTGCCCCCTCATCCAGTTGCTCCCTCTCTGCCCTTCCATCCTAATTACCCCTATCCCTTGTCCCCTGATTTTATCCTATCACCCCTCTCCCCGCCCCATTACACCAATCCCTTTCCCCAACCTCTGACCCAAGGCCCCTTCAAAAGAACATAAGAACGGCCGTACTGGGTCAGACCAAAGGTCCATCTAGCCCAGTATCCTGTCTGCCGACAGTGGCCAGCACCAGGCGCCCTGGAGGGGGTGGACCGAAGACAATGATCCAGCGATATGTCTCGTGCCATCCATCTCCAGCCTCTGACAAACAGAGGTCAGGGACACCATTTCTATCCCCTGGCTAATAGCCTTTTATGGACCTAACCTCCATGAAATTATCTAACTTCTCTTTAAACTCTATTATAGTCCTAGCCTTCACAGCCTCCTCTGGCAAGGAGTTCCACAGGTTGACTATGCACTATGTGAAGAAAAACTTTCTTTTATTAGTTTTAACCTGCTACCTATTAATTTCATTTGGTGTCCTCTAGTTCTTCTATTATGGGAACTAATAAATAACTTCTCTTTATTCACCCTCTCCACGCCACTCCTGATTTTATATACCTCTATCATATCCCCCCTCAGTCTCCTCTTTTCTAAACTGAAAAGTCCCAGTCGCTTTAGTCTCTCTTCATATGGGACCCATTCCAAACCCCTAATCATTTTAGTTGCCCTTTTCTGAACCCTTTCTTTGAGGTGAGGAGACCACATCTGTACACAGTATTCAAGATATGAGACATCCAATCATCCCTGTCCCCATTTCCCCCGTTCCACCAGCCCCTGCACTTCCTGCCCAAAGTCTGTCCCCCATCTGGTCACCCCCAAAGTCTGATCAGCCTCAGGGACAGGGGAGGCTGGAAGAGTGACCCTCCCCAGGATGGGGAGCTGGATGGAACAGTCATGGAATGCCACCAGGGTGGGTGGAAGTCCAGCAGGGAGAAACTGAGGCAGGAATAAGAGCACACTCACCATATGTCCTCCAGTCTGGGCCATAGTGTGTGCGTGTGTGCGGGGGGGAGGGGACAATCCATCTCCCCTTTGCACTCCAACCCCGGCAATGGTGGTGATGGTGGAACGGGTAGTCTGACTGATGCAAACCCCCAGGCAGTGAACGGGGCAGAGTTCGGTGTGGCTGGCGTGGTGGTGTATACAGACCCTGCGGACATCAATGATGGGCGGGCGTCTGAGAAGGAGACTTACCCCAACTCCTGGTACTTGCCTCCCTCCGGTGTGGAGCGGGGCTCTTACAACGGCTACTTCGGAGACCTGCTCACGCCCTACTACCCTGCTAAAGGTAACGTGCCCGGGCAGGGCAGGGCGGGACTGGCTTTGACCCACAGTGCCTCTTGCTGCTCCCACCCATGAAGGGATGGGGTGGCTGTCCCAACCCCCTGCCAGTGAGGCCGAAAGCCTCCTTGAATTGAACCCCCGACCCCTGCTCTCATTCATCCAGAAAACACCCCATTCTCTACCCCCAGCTATATCCT